ATTTCAGCGTTTTGCCAGCACTGTCAGTTTGGATCATTGTGGTCCTGAAACTCCAAAGTGAGCTTTCGGCTGTCAAAACTCATCAGACTACCGATCTAGAGCTGCATCAACTCACAGCACTGACCGTTTCTGTCACCACTTACTTATTACATGCAATCTAGCGTCAACCGCCTAGGCCGATTTCTGGCTTGTCCAAGGCCAGACAAAGGCACCCCCAAAAACTTCATCAGCTTGTTAACTCGGAAAATGTTGGTGATGCTTCACACTGAACCAGAAACAAACGTTGAAGACTTCCTGCTATCAAACCAACCAAACTCAATGACGATTATAAGAACCCACTAAGTGGAGAAGTCGGATTTCTTCAAAGACATTCTAAACGTCTGCGGTCGCAAAGACTTTCTGGGTCATTTTGGAGTGAAGGTGGTTGCGGTAGTGACCATATGTGGTAGTAGTGAAAGCCGCAGGCCAATTGCCGGTCAGGAGAAGATAAGCGCTGATAAAACAAAGAAGATCGTACCCTATACAGGCGTTCGCTTCCTCAGATTTCCCATTCTCCATTTTTGCCCTATTTCGCACGCACTTACGGTGAGTGATCGATCTCATGAAATGTTGGCCGAAATTCTGACACACGTTGTCCATTTGGAAGGATCACTTAGGTGGGGTTGTAATACTGATTATCATGCGGCATAATCCAGTACTATTTCGGACTGCCCAAGATGTCGGCTTTTGAATACACCTCTTTTCGATCTCCTGCAAAACCCACACTCGGTAAAAAAAATGACTACTTAAGTAGTATGCACCTTTCGCATTGATTTTCGATGGTCTTATAAATTCAAATATATTCTATGGAAAACATATACAAAAATATGCTTTCTTCTACATATTCGGTGGCAAATCACGTCGACTTTACATTTTGTGCTTTAGGTTTTAAAGAAGTTTTTAATTCTACGATTTGTAAGACTGTGCAATGTACATTCCTACAGCATCGTACCTGTCTGTTTACCATTGCTCCTCATGAAATGTACAACATAGTCCGCACTCCGCAAAATTTCATAAACTCTAAATGGTATCTTCTTAAAGGCATAGAGAAGTAAATTATTTTCCTTACACGGAAAGCATGCGCCTTGTAGAATGAAACCGTTAAACGCCAATGCAACGGCTGCTCTGGCTTAAAATTATTCGGGAATTGGAAAACTCTTTTAAAACCTAAGTATACCCTGTTTTCAAGCATAAAATGTAAAGTTGATATGATTTGCCACCGAATGAGTTGAAGAAAGCATCTTTGTGTGCATGTTTCCTATAAAATATATTTTGATTTATAAGACAATCGAAAATCAATGCGAAAAGTGCATGCTACTTAAATAGTCTTTGTCGGCACCTCCACTGCACATACTACTAGTCTCCGTGTGACCGCCTGCAAGGCCTATAGATTGGGTCATAAGGCTCAATGGAACGGGCATTTCTCGCAACTCGATCGGCGAGTGCACTTCCAAAATGGAACGGCGTTCTGCACAGAGTGCCTGGTGTGCGAGTCCAGAAAGTAGGGCGCGTGAGTTGGCAAGCCCGAGGCGTGCGCTAGTGGGAGTGCACGCGGCGGGTGACGATGACCAATGGAAGCGTGCGACTCTCTGATTGGCTGACTGCGATTATGCGTACGTGTGGCATCCACCGGAGACAAGTGAGCTATGTTATGGTTGCCAGCCAAAGGGCAACGCTGACGTGGTTTTTGGTGAGTCCATAAGATGGCTTGTCGGAGTGCGAGGATTTGAGGGTAAGCTTCCAAAATCAAAATTCAGGGAGACAGGGTCGGTGAGATAAACTCTGCTGCATCACGAGTCACACATACGGCTCAAAGGTCGGTGACAGCAAAGGTTTAGCTAAATCGAGAGCCAGGTGCTGATGTCCGCACGAAGTGTAGGCGTGCATCTGAGCCATGTCCGATTGCGACCAATCACTGAAGACAAAAGTATCGATTGGCGTCAGGGCGTTGACAGGCCCAGGGCTGTCACACGGGGCGCAATCAACTAGCAGGGGGAGGGGAGAGGTGTGCGTATCCCCGCATCCTGACTTCAGCCCACATCCCAACATCAACCCCAATCCTTGCCATAACTTCCCCGAAATTCAGTGCAAGGTCACGTGTAGTGCAGGGGGAGGGTACTTATCCCCTTGTCCTACCCATCAGGTTTCGAAATTTCAGCAAACCACAGGAAATCGAGCGCTTTGCAAGAAATTTTCTTAGCATCTGTCCCGTCAGACAACAAATATCGAATTTCAGGGGTGAGACTGTTATCAGTTGCGAAAGATGATGGCCTCAAATACAGTAGACGGCGTAACTCAGAAAAGGCCGGCAGAAATGTTTAAATATGATCTCGGTTAGAATGGATTGCTTATCATGCTACAGAATTCCAAGACTGCCAGGATGTCGGATATGGAATGTGCGCCTTCCGGTCCGCCTGCAAGTCGCATTTGTCGAAAAATAACTGTTAGAATGATATGAAATTTTTCCGTTGGCTTTCAAAGCCCTTATAGCTCTAGACCTATTCTACAGAAAGCTTATAAGAAAATATCCATTCTTGAAATAATGCTAAAGAGAGTTACATCTTCCACTTTTAGAAATGTCTTCTTTCGAATCATTGTCAACACGATCTGCCCTTGTATTTGCGACTGAAGTTTCCAAACTAAAAGCTGAACGCTTTTAATTTAAGAAAAATCATGCACTCATCTGAGTCATTGAGAAGGCGTCATCTGGCGTTCATAAACCCTTGCAAGGGATAGGTTTCGTCTAGTAAGCTCCATAACGAACATTAAAATACCGAAAAATACGATTTTATTTGAGCGCGAAATTCCACCCTAAAAATGTCACACTCACAGTTTTTCCTCAAAATTAAGGATATTGCTTCCCTAAGGTAAAAAGTGAAGATGTAATCTACTAAAAATTGAACACAGCGAAAAGTTAGTGCGTAAATTATGCCTGGAATTATAAGGCCATCGGAAATCAATAAAGAAATCCATAACATACAAGTGACCATTTTTCGGCTAGTACACCTTTTAGCTGCAGCCGCAGAGACTTGCGTCTAGGAGACAGCTGCCCAGACTGACTGAAATATCTTTGAGTTATGCTGCACAGTGATCAGTATGACAATCCCACCTAGGTGGCACTTTCTGACCGAGATCAACCAACGCTTCGTGAGCTAAGTCACCCTTCGTAAGACACTCTCAAACAGCCCGTCTAGGCGGAGTTCAAGCCACCTGTTGGGTAAACTGGCAAACACTGAACTCACAGACGGTGTCTCCCCCCTTTTACGTCGGGTCTCCTGACACAACAAAGCCTGGCAATAAAGCAACCGAGGCGGTTGACCGCGCTCCTAGGGGGTGGAAATTCGTTTCTTCGACCCCGACCAGCCGAAGTGAAGCCGCAACCGTGGCAGTATCCGACTGAGGTTTCGCACTTATCCCTCGTCAGAAGTGAGTAAACAACAAGTGGCACACGCGGGCAGTGGACTTGTACTTGATACGGCTGCGATCATGCCTGATCTAGCCGGCCTCGATGATGTCACGAACTGTACCTCTCCATGCGTGACGATCCGTGGCAGCTGATCTGGACAGCTTAACCTATTCCCTTCGCCAACGACGGAGACCGAATACCGAAGGTCCGAGAACCACCTCCATGTCTTGACGAACTGCGTCGAGCCAGGTTTTGAACTGACCCCCTTTTCGACCCCTCCAATGGGGCAACGGGGCCAGATTGAGGGCAGCAACACTGAGCTCCTGAGATGGACGACAAAGAACATGCCCGAACCACCTCAGTCGTCTTTCTTGGATGGCCTGAGTTATCCTTGCGATGTTGTCACAGCGAGCGCGGACCGTCTTATTTGAGACGAAGTCGGTGTACTTCACTCGAAGGATGGTCCTCAAGCAGTGGTGGCCAAATACCTCCAACTTTCGTTCGTCCTCCACGCGCAAAGCCCAGCATTCACAACCGTAGAGGACAGACCGGACAGATGCACGGTGCACGCGAATCTCAGTGGCGATGGAGAGGTCACGTTGGATACATAGGCATTTCCGAAGGCTTGAGAAAACCCAGCGGGCAGCATCGACTCGGGAGACAATGTCGTCCTTACACTGTCCATTAGGCAGCAGTCCCGCTCAGAGATATTTAAAACTGCCTACTTCCTTAAAGTTGACAGCTATCAATCCCGAGGGGTGTCTTCTCCTGGTCAGGGATGCAGCTTGAAGACGCTTTGGTCTTCCCAGTGGACTTGTAGGTCGACTCGTCAAGTTACTGTCAGTTCCATGCTCCGACCAGGTCATGCTCGGTTGTACATCCACCATCCATCGAGCGGCATGCATAACCCAGCCCTGACAAGAACTCAGTTCCTCGACGCACAGACCTGCCCCGGGCCACAACCACTATAAATGCAAAATCGACTGCTTACGACGAAATCGTGCATGGACCCGCAATTTCGCTTAAAGATATAACCATGGTTACGGCGTTTAACCAGTCCTCTACTCTAGCTTTTAGGTGTACTTGGTGCAAACAAGTCCGGTAATCAGATTTCTACGAACTTTGACGCACAGAACCGCCAAATGCACTATGTATCCCAGATCATGTAATTAGTCTTCTCTCCAAAGGAAACTACTAGATGGCGTTAGAAGTCTCCCTCAGCAGGTGCGGTTTCAAAAAGAGAACGCAATCACACTGTCAGCAAGTTATGCAGAGTACTCCTGACTGGATACATGGCTCGATGTAATTTCACTCACAGGGGGGTCCGCTTCTACTTCACGAAACTAATGGCGATTTCCAGACAGAAAAGAAGAAGCGGAACAAAAATAAGGATTTGCATATTTTAAAAAAGGCGGAGAATATACTGCAAGTGGTTCACAGTAGAAGATCTAAATTTATACCTAGGTAAAACAACAGCAAAAAGGCTAAAGACCATGTACACGAGGTTTGGGGGAGGAGAGAGACTAGGGTTGGTATTTTGCTGGGTGTCTAAGGACTAGTTGTCAGTAGAAGGGAGAAATTCTGGCTCTTCTTCCTCCTCATGATCTCCACCTGTTCCCACACCCTCTCCATCCTCGTCTTCCGTGGAGATATGGACGATTCCCACGCGGACGGCAAACACGGCCATGACTGTAAGCACAAAGGCCCCAAAGAAGATACCATCACGAAGAGGACGAGACCTAAGCCAGGCCGAGGAAGAGGATAGGAGGCTCTGATTGGCCGTCTCAACTTCGGCCTCAGTCTGGGCGTTTGGTCCTAGAAATTCAGACAAAATAAGCGCAGTTAGAATGCGTACTGATTACGGTTCAGTAGCATCTGTATATAATATAATATGCTGGCGAGGGGCTGCATCTTCATGAGTTGGGCGGGTAAACAAATAAACGGTGGCAGGAGGAGGGGGTTGGGGTGAAAGAGGATGACAGTTTAGGTAGAAAAAATCGTTCGAGGCGAGTATGGACGATTTGAAAGACAACTGCGTGGGGGTTACTGTCAACCAGCAAGGCGAGACTGGCCGACCCAGCGCCCGATCTTCGTCACAGCCAGGGTGCAGCAAGTGTTTAAGTAGCAAACTGAAAACACATTACTGACAAGGAGAAACGAGGGTGGAACGGCTATTTTCTGCTTCATTTGCAGCCGTCTGCCGCCAGCCACAGACGGACCGCCGGCAAGGAAAATTTGGGTCTCTCAGTATTCAACATTAGATCAAACCGTAGACGATCGAGTCACCGGCTTGCGACCTGTCAGCTGTACCTAGGATAATCAAAGCCGACTAGGAAGGATATTCACTGATCTATCCTGATTGCTAGATTCCATACGGACAGTCCTATTTGTCTTGGAGGTTCAGTGTTCGGAAGAATACATTCCACGAGAAGTGCTATCATTTCCAAACAAAATTGTGTTTTTGATCGGCGATTCACTCCGAGTCCAGTCGGGCTAGCTAGCAGGCCAGTCACGGAGCTTGGAAACCACAGAGTCAGAGATGTCCCCCGAGGTCAGCTTTTATTACGTCTACTTACGTCCGTAGTTGAGCCCCTCGACGCCGTTGTCAGGTTCAAGTGGGACAACGACGACTTCGCTTTGAAGTCTATGCAGCATCCAGCCGGGGAATTTTATTCGAAAAGTATGGAGGAAGCTCGCTCTGCACTTGAGCCATTCACCTCACTCAATGAATACATTTTTAAACACGGCATGGTCTTTCTTTAAAGACCAGTTGTTTGGCACTTATCCACGCAACAGGTAGTTCCAAGATGTTCCGAAACAACATGCACAGTCCTTGCGAAAATGTAACGATTCCCTACAGGTTATGGTAGAAGTTAGTTACAAACCAGGTACTCTGCATTGGCGCAGAGTATGGATACTTAAAAAAAGAGTGACAGTTGAGGGGATCAGAAATGAGGATCTACGTGCCTGAACGCATGGTAAATCTGGCCGTGGGGAAGCACATGCGCTGGATGCGTTGGCAATGGTTGAAGAGATTCTCACACTGGTAGATGTGTGCAATCAGTCGCGCAGGCGGATCTTTTATGCTGTTCCGCTGCAGATCGTAGTTCAGCAGGGGCCACAGGCGTCCAAAGAGGTAGGCATCCACTGCAGTAGGTCTGTAAAATGAAGAGTATGCGGATCATCATCATCATCATCATCATCATCATCATCATCATCATCATCATCATCGTCGTCGTCATCATCATCATCATCATCGTTGTCGTCATCAACACCATCAACATCCGTTGGCATCCTACATGTGAGACAGTTGTCCCACCGTGTAGAGGCACATATTCGATTCCCAAGGCATTCATGGCCTGCGGACGACAAGGGCTTTCCTAGCACTGGGACACAGATCCTCATCGGCTGAGGTTTCGGGCACCCAGGCGAGTTCATCATGAGGAACAAGGAAGGCGTTGGGGGACAAGCAGTACTTATAATCGGAAATCCTCCCTCCTCTTTTTTGTAAAGTATTTCCGACTCATTGACTACTTACTGTGGCCAGCTTAATTGAAATAATAACGAAGTCAAAGCGCCGGTCTTTGAAGCAATTCGCTACAACAACTGTCAAGTCAACAGGCATGTACTGATGTGACATATTCTTAGACGCATACTTTGATTGTTTATGTGTAGCTGTATGACCCAGCTGTGAGGGATCCGGCTCGCTAGCGAGTCCCCTAGAGTCCTCTCTGACATATACTCCAGTTTCTAGGTGTTAGTGCAATTGCCCTAGTAACCTTCACGCCTCAAGTCACTCGTGACTGTGATTTGTTGTTAACATTCCGTCTCCCTCTCTCCTACATAATGCCTAAGGAAAAGTCTTTCATCTGACTATTCATTGCCTTGAACCTTGACCTTGCATTGACATTCTGTACAAATTCATACTGCTGTGCGCTTCTTTCATTCGTTATCTGTGTGATGCAGAGACGGGCTACAGTTGAAAAGCCGTCACGAAGTTATTGGCCCCAAAAAATTCTGCTGTATGTGCCCGTTTTCAATTTATACTCTGGGAAAAAAGTGCTTTAGATTAGGCCGATTACTTTCCTCTAGAGTTAGTGCATGTGTTTGGAGTGAATTCCGCGGAACAAGCCTCTTCAGGATAAATCCGACAGCTTCGGCGGAATATTCGCTAACCTATCCACTGTCTGTGCGGCCGCATGCAAAAGGATTAGTTGGCAGCTCCAAAAGTAACACGGGGATGGCATTCGCCATGCCAACCCCAGTGCAGGACGGAATGCGGTGCCTTCCGTTTTCCTTTGGGCTTCTGTAAAGACATATTCGATTAGTAGGGCAACCAATGATCGTAAAAGCCACCAACAAAGGAAATGCTTATTTTTTAGCTTATTCGTCGTCATCATCACCGGCCTGGAGAACCCGGGCTATTTCGGCCATTGAGTAGCTAGTCACGGCACTTACCATTAGAGGTAGCCGCCACGCCTCTGCAAGTAGTACTTCTTAAATCCCTCCTTGTTTAACAGACTCCTTGTTATCTATCATATTACGCACTGAGACTCGTGTGTCAGAACCCACAGCAGGTGACGTAACTCCAATATTAGCTGAAAGTTCGAAATAGGAGCCCCGCGGGCTTGCAAACACAATCCCAAGATGGTACTTTGGTCGGGCCGAGATGCCGGTCTATATATGCGCGTCTTTTCAGTAGCCTGTAAAAAATCTCGCTGGCTAAAATAAATACTTAAGGAGTACTATTTTTTTCACTGATCTTCAATTCCCCTATAAATCCAAACATGTTTATGGGAAACATGCGCAAAAATATACTTCCTTGCACTTATTTTGTGTCAAAATACGTTCTCTTCAAAACTCTTACTCGAAAAAAGGGTAGCTATAGATTTAAAAATGCTGGTAGTTATGATATTTTGACATCATGAAAGGTTTCTCCAGATAGCATCGTATTCATTCGTTTATTGATGGCTCTTAAGAAGCAGATAACGTAGTTTATATAAATTGCAAAATGTCATGAACCCTGCATAGCACCTTCTTCATGGCATCTAGGCATGCATAATTTTCCTTAAATCTGAGTGCACAGTTTGTTATTTGGAAGCTCTAAACACCGGTTGACCTCTAAATCATTCGGAAGTCGGAAATGCCTCTAGATACAGGAAGATACCAGTTGTTTATAAAACGCAATTTACCTGAGTACAATAGCGGATATTTTTGTCTATGCTTTCTGCAAAATATTTTTGGATTTGTGAGAGTATAGAAAATAAGTGGAAAAGTCATAATAGGTAAAAGGTAATTTTTAGAGGGTGCGATTTTCACAGGCAGCCGGGAGGACGCGCATTCAAGGGCCGGTATTCTGGCATGACTGAAACATCTTTGGATTAGGCTGCACAGTACAACAAGCGCACCTAAGTAATTCTTCATAACCACGAGTATATTTCGAAATTTCATGAGATACGCCACCTGCTGTATCTGCAATCTTCAAGAGATCGATATTAATTCGAATCCAATCCTCCCGAAGACAGTAAACAGTGAATGGGTAAAAAGAGGTAGCCGAAAAGCCGGGCAATGTGATTATTATCCTCCAGTCACAAACCCCGGTTGAACCAGGTCCTCCAGACAGATACGATGCGTAGAACTCAACTCACGGGTTTTGGCCTGCCCTACAGAAGTAGCGGTGATGCAGTGTGTTTGAGAGCTCTGACAGACGTGGCATTGCAATAGGCAAACAACGCACCAGCAGTATAAAACACATCTATTGCCGCACATGACTGCGTTGCAGTCAAGAGGATAAATACAGTTGTCGTCTACGCTAGGACATTCAAAAAGAATTGCAGTGGAGGGACAGTATCAGTCGATTACCGTCAAGATGGCCTATCCTTCATTTCGCCCAGTGACTAATGGTACTCAGTGACAATCATCACGTCGAAGAGAGGTCTGCCAATCATAACAGATACGACAGAATTTGGTCAAAAGGAGAAGAGTGCGAAAACATGGAAAAGTGCCGTCATCGGCCATAAAATGAAATACAAACAGTGGGCTCAGCACAGACCATACGCAAGTGAGGACTCGACGTTGAAATGGCGCCTCAGGGCAACCTTGACGTCAATACTGCCCAAAAGGTGTCCCTGTTTGCAAACTTTGAAGCCACAAACTCGTCGGTCGAGTTGTGCTTTGACCACTCAAGTAGCTTAAACCTGCTCCCAGATGGCTCGGTCAAACGACTGGACCGATAAGACATTAACATACGTTTAATAGGTCTGGGTGTGGCACCATCCTACGGCAAATACTTAAAAGGAGAGGTTAACTCGAGACATCGGGGCTATAGGGGCAGTAAACTTCCGAATCAACACGAAAATTCCAAACTCCTCCACGACCCCTCCCGACAGGGATGTATCAGCACGATGAACCGGAAAGTCATTCGTCTTCGTAGTGAACTGCGGTACTACGAACTTCGGATAGAAAACCGGTGTTTCAAGAAAGGATCATTCGAATGTCTTGTTCCGTTGAGTTTCAGACACGGCTAACAGAGCTGCCGTTCCAGGATCCTGTAGGTTGGACGCATACCCTAATAGTTCTTGAGAGTAATCAAAGCATGGGGAGAGTTCATGTGGACAAGTGTTAGGTCACCACAAAAAAGTAGCTAAGGACACAACTGTGGTCTGCCCACAGCGCCTTTAAGTTATATTATAAAAAAATGACAACGGCGCACTGAAACTATGAAAACGAAGGGGTAGAGGGGAATCGCCTAGTAATAGCAATGTCACCCTCAGAGCCTCTCGACTGCTACTGACTGGCGGCATGGAAGTTTCATCACAGTATGTACTCCTGTCCCTGAAAGCACTTGTGGTCCGAGTGTATGACACCACAGTGAAAAACATTTTGCTCCACGGTAGCGAAATGCAGCCTTTGTGCATCTTCGACAATCTGAGATATCTGGTCCTGACCGACGCTCATGTTTTAAACGCGGAACTTTGTCACTGACAAGGGGTCCCATATTAGGACGAGGAGAATGTTTGCGCATGTAATTGTGCTAAGCGTTAGCTGTAGGCAATCTACTATTTCTGAACCCCTGTCCGGAGTGAGACTGTGATCATGTCGACAAATGGGAAAAAATTGAACAGATTTAATCAAGTCTGACCTAAGACGAGTACCGGCACTGACAGCTTTCTACTTTTAGGAATGGAATAGCAATTTGAAAATAAGTCTCTGCTGCCCTTCCTCCGATAAGAAACAATACTAAGTGGTCTGTGACACGGTAGAGACTGTAGCTGGTCAGACCAGTTCTGGTGCTAATCGATACAAGAGAATTAGATCGATTCCACAAGAGAAAACTGAACGTAGGCAGATTTACTGATAATCGCGAACCAGTCAACTTAGATAACTTCATGAGAAAAGCAATATATGCCTGGAGAAAGAAAGTAAAACGTTGTGCTTACTGATTTGCAAGGAAGAACTTGTTTGACCCAAGAATGTATGAAAGAGCTGTGAGACAACGCATGGCGCCTTCATATAGCTAAAAAGGGGGGAGGGATTTGGGCGGGGTTGAGACAAACAACGTGCCTGAGGAGGGTTGTCGATTGAGAGAACTGTAAACCCGTAGGGGAAATCAGGCTGAGTTAACAGTTACAGATCAGACAACTAGGACCAGCTACGGCACTAACATGACCGAAAGTTTTATCAAAAAACTTACTGTGCGTACGACATATCCCTCATCTCAGTGTACGCACACTTCCAGTACTGAGCATTGGGACAGATTGCCAGATATGCAATTATCGGAATCGGAGCCTAGGTATGTGCAGCGTCGTATGAAGTAATACTGGTCTAACCGCCTCGTGAAACGACTTTTGTCAACAAAGCCTAACTTATCCAGCCGAATCCGAGTTCGCATAGAAAACTAGATATGAATGTTACGGAATAAAATGCTATCAGAGAACGTGCAAAGTAAACTATCGCCTACGTATGTTACGACTCCAGAGGCCGACTAATTAATATGCTATGCAAGACCACAATATACTCGGCTATGGAACCTCATATTGTGCATAGGGCTACACACCAGCGGTAGCATGCATACTGCGGGGTGGTAGCGATATATCGGGAAAAGTCTCTGCACGACAGCTGCGGGATGACGAACACAGATAGTTAACTTGAGGCGGCAGGAAGTCCCATCAGTTTAAATGGGCTGCAGTCAGTGCAGCAGTATAATAAGAGAAAGTACAAATTAAAGCTACTGGTTAATCGAGAGCCAAAACTGAAAGCGAAAATACTAATTCGGAATTTATCTCTTCGGTGCAGCTTTAAAACAGATGGCCTGCTTTGAAGAAGAGAAAAAAACTCACTGATGATTCTATATCTGACGGACGATTGTGCCGTTTCGTACAATGAGTAATCTGAGAATTTTCAGCATTCCTCATTATGTTCCCACGGCATCGCCTCAAATGATAAAAGCCGTGGAACCAACTCATCAAGGACCCATAATACTTCGAAGTGTATGAGTGGTAGACACTGGGATCAGCCCAAAGGAACCACCGTACTGCCGGCGTGATACGCCGCTCTATTGAGGTCACAAGAGACTCCAGCATGGATGAATCCACATCTGAGAGGTTGTATTCCAAGCCATAATTCTAGAATGTTCAAAATACAGAAAATATAAACAGTACCTCTCTCCGTAGATAGCTGAGAATGTTGGGGACCGAAAGGATTTTATTACTGCCGTGTATGAGGCAGGGAATAGATGTGGTGTCTGGGTTGTCCACGGTGGTTGATATGTTTATGGGGCAATTTCCAAGTCGTAGATAAGCCTACAGAGAGAAAGCTAAAGATTTAACGGCCTCAAACTGACTAGAACGACGAGGCAATCACTATCGCTGGACTCGATTTCCTCGGTACCACCCCATATCGACAGATCCATTGTGATAATCTGGGCCTAAATAAACGAACACTACCACAGTGGGAAGTGAGTAACTGACAGCTTTTGCGGAATGGTTCCACAAACCATCGGTAGAACAATCCACGTGAGTTACAGTAGTATAGCAGTCGAAGGCATCGAGTATAGCACACACCGAGTAAGCAAAACACCGAGGGAAAACTGACTAAGACCGGCCTGAACACAGTTGCTAACGCGTTAAAATACTCATCCATGCGAAAGGGTAGAAAAATCAGGTTGACATAAAAATGCACTGAGAATAGATGGTGAAGGCCTTTGTACACTTTTGATTTGTTTCACTACATTTCTTGTACACCTGACCTGCCTGTACATTTGCTTGACTAAACGGAGAATACACTTTTTGAACAACGCTACGGCGGTTAACATGTGTTCTGGTCTCGAGTGTGTTTGACATCGTTATTTCTTGGCGTGCGCTTGTCACCTCTCAATTCTCTTAGCAACTCCTTCGTGCTGCCGGAGACTTCCTCCTCGAAGCTAACTTCAACGCACCACCGCGGAACCTAGAGCCTCCCTTCAACCATTTCTTCATCGGGACACTATCTCCCTACTTGATAGGATTCTACCTTACGTGAGTCTGGAACCTTCCTTTTCTGGTTCTTTCAATCTGTACACTCTTTTTTGTTCGTAAACCCAATTCCCCCATTCGGAGTTAGTTTTTTTTCCTGCATATATTATTGTTTGTAGTTTCAAAGTCCACATTTCCACTACAGTGGAAACTAAGAATAAATAAAAATGGTTAATTTTAAAAACTGAATGAGTTACAGTAAGTGGTTGACTTGTCTGGATTGAGAAGTGGCACTGATATGCCTACTAAGGAACCGGTGGGGAACGCAGTTCTGTGGGCGATTGAAGAGGGGGGGTTTGCGACGAGTTGTTGGAAGGGGTTCTGTGATGCAGGGGGAAGATCGCAGGATATTTTCGCCAACATACAGTCACAACATTGCATCTCAAATCAGCGCATGAAGTGTCTCTTCTTTCAGGCAATTCTTTACAGTTCGTGAGCCGTTGCAGTTTTCCGTGTGTCTTGTTGAGATGAAGTTATGCGAAATTGTGTTTGGGGGATAAGTTCCGTGACTGAGCGACCTTAAGAATGCCCTAAAGAGGTTCAGTCAATTGAGAATTATCAAGATAAGTGCATTTTTAATAAACAAACTATTGCTACAGTGCAAGGAGTCCCCACTTGTTTTTTATGTGGTTCAAAGTTAAAGAGACGGAGTCCCGATAGTGGATCATAACAGTGGCCCTATGCCGACAGTAAAGGTAAAACCTGAGAGAATTTTTAAGGAGTATCGTTTACAGGACTTTTGCAGGCTAACTTCTAGTTCTCTAAAAGTTTTGCGTTACCACTTCCTAATGTGTATGCTGTAGCACATGATAGTGCGCTGGCCTTGCGTGCCTAGTTCGGTAGTTACAAACAGCTGTCGTCCTAAGTTAGGGATTATGAGAATGTAAGTGAAATATGGTAACTTGTTTTCGGAAATTTTAAATCGCAAGCTCAAACTCCAGGATTTCTTACAGTCATAAGTTGCCAGAGGGCCACACGACGACGTTACTAATTTAGAAATCGCAGTAATTACGTGTTGGTGGGTGGAGCAGTTGAGCTCATGGAAGGACGGCAGTCAGCTGGATATAGCAGCAATAAAATGTTACCTATAATTGTATTTTTATCAGCATTATCGGTTTTATTTGATATTTAGTAGTTTTTGCTGCGCTCTTTTTTATTTGGACTATATTTTGATTGTTTTTTCCTGAGTTCAAAGAAGACTTACAGTGCCCAGGGGGCGTTATAATAAACATAGTCTATTCTGTTCTATTCTAAAGACCACAAGCAACCTATAAATTCCTTTGGATTAGGAGACCGGAAGTTGGTTTCCATCTCCTTTTTCATATTAATAAATGTCAAAGTCCTCCCCGAATATGAACACTTACTACTGCTAATCGTTCACACAACATTCAAAGCTATCTGTTGATTTTTCTTCCTGTTTACACCACATCTAGGCTTTCTCGCTTCACTTCGTACAAATATACCTTCATCCGGAAGTCCACTGGAACAAGTTATAAGTAAATGGTTCGCGAAATTCCTTTGATTCCAGGTTCTTGAAGCTAACGGCTAATCTCTTTCTGGTACAAAACGTCACGTTCCCAACCAGGATCACAGAGGACCAAAGAGTAAATTGTCTGGACCTCGTCCTTACAAAAGACCCAATTAGCCCTGGCGAACTTAGGTCCATAACACCGCTCGGTAAGAGTGACCATGTCATGCTGTTTTGGGGATACCGCCTATGCAACCAACAACTGAATACAACTGAGCCTCGCCTGAATTTCTGGCGAGGAGATTTTGCCGCCATGAGAAGTGAAATATCGGCAGTGGGCTGGAATTATGCCCTTTCCGGACATCCAGACGTTGATTGGAACACTCTCAAGGAAGTTGAACCCGACATTATGCATCGAAACTGTCCGGCAAAGAGAGTCAAAAAGAATAATCATCCAGCCTGAATAACGCGGGATATAAAGGAAGAAGTAAACCGGAAGAACAAACTATGGAGAAGGTATACAACAATAAAACAGCCATCTCATTACGAGCAGTTCCTTCGAGAGCGAAACGAGGTAAGGTCAGGGAAGGAGTATGAAACGCGAGTTATGGAATGGGCCGTCAATAAGCCAAGAGTGCTCTTCAGTTACATCAGCAGTAGGTAAAAGTACAAGGACACGGTCTTAGTGTTGAAAGAAGAAAACAATGAGAATATTATCGAAAATGACGCATAGGCACAACATCTAAGCCGGTTTTTCGTATCTGATTCAGCGATGAAACGAACTTTAAGGGGGCTGGATTGTCTACTGAAACAACCGATGAAATAATAGAATACGTCGACTTCATGGAAGAAGATGTGAGAAAGTAACTTCTAGCGCTTAAGGAGGGTAAGTCTCCGGGTCCAGACCAAATACTGGAAAAAATTCTGAGGAAATTGGCTTGCGAACTCGCCAGACCGCTTTTGCATATATTCAGGTTGTCCTTTGACTGAGGCATTGTCCCCTCTGATTGAAATGCGGCGAACATATACCTCATTCACTTGGGTGGATCTAGAACATGTGCTAACAATTGTCGTTCGGTAGGCCTGACGCGCATTTGTTGCAAAGTCATGGAGAGAATAGTCAAAAAAGCCATTATGAAGTTCCACGAGGAAATTAATTCCATTGCTAGTACCCAACCTGGCTTTCACTCTTGCCTAACTAATATGCTCTACGCAACAGAACAGTTGACTTGCTCGTTAGACGAAGGAACAAGGTTTGATATCGTTTACATAGATTTCAAGAAAACCTTTCATAGTGTTCCACACCACCGGTTACTTTCCAAGGCCCGAGAATCAGGGATAAGGGAAAACCTATTAAACTGGGTAAAGGACTTTCTAACTGGTCGATCACAGTCTGTATGTGATGGTAGTGCGAAGTCAACGCCAGTGCCAGTTGTGAGTGGAGTTCCCCAGGGCTGTGTACTCGAACCAGTACTATTGTTACTTTATTTCCACGACTGTATGAATGGACTAAACTGCAATGGAGTCATGTTTGCCGATGACATCAAGTTTTGGCGAACGATCAACGGGGAAAATGATGAACGGGGCCTGCAAGAAGGAGTGAATCGCCTATGCGAATGGTCTGACAAATGGCTGCTGAAGTATAACCTTGAGATGTGTGTCCCGCTGCGACTCAAAACGACTGAAAACACCGATGGAGAGGATCACAATTACCTGCTTGGTGGAAGGTGCCTTTCAAATGTAACCAAAAA